AGAGAGCTCATCACTTAAATCACTATGTGGTATCTTGTGTTTCACATTTCTAATTCGTTGTAGTTCACCTCAAAACATATAAGTACCAATTGCCATTATAATCTATTGAATTACTGAAATGAGACTAGCGTAAAACTCATAATATGTATAGTAGTTGCCCTGAATTTATTCATGATAATGGAAGAATTTTTACAGAATTATAAATGCAATTCGATATTTATATGAGATTTTATGTTATTTCATGAAATTAAGCATACAGTGGTAGTAAGAGAAGATTTAAGTTAGCTTTAGTAACAAGAATAATGTCAATACAGGGGGATTACGGATATTTTAGAAGCAGTCACCTATTAAATCCACTATGTTAGATAAATTTGATATAGTACGTATAACAGTGGAACTATAACATGATCGATTTTTTATCTCATGACAAAGTCTTTCATTTTACTCTTATTATTTTTAACCAATTACTTATTATATTAAATCATATCTAGATTCAACAGACATCACTCGGCTCAGTTTAATTTCGCAGTTGAACAACAATTATTTTTTTTAGTTTTAATGAAAATAATAGGTGTAAAACAATTTTTACATTGTAATAAGCGAAAAGCAGAGAAAGGTAAATAAAATCTAAATAAGATTACATGAATTCACATTGAAGAGAAATATAAACTCCATAATTCATTTCAGTTACATGTGTCGATTACTAGATATTTGTAGCTGAAAAACCGAAGAAAAAACGAATGGTCCACTAGAAAACTGTTTTATCATAATTTGAATATTTTTAACCAAAGCCTATTTAATAACCCATATACCGAATAAAAACGTGAACTTTTTTGTTCCACAGAAAAAATAATACTTTTACAATATTATATTAGAGATAGGTAATCAAAAGTTTTCAGCTTTTAACATAACGAAACACCGATCCAGTGTTATCGGAAAGTTATTATCTAACTTCTGACTTATTTAACTTCATGGGCTATGGTTTCTTATTTGAATAAATCAATTTAGAAATTATTCTTGTAATAGGAATAGACTGATGGAGAAACATCACAAAAGTAATTACTTTTTCATTAACATTATTTTGGGATCCTAATTAATTAGTTATTTTTATTTTGATTGACATCATGAACCGATCGATGTTAGACCACTGTTGGAAACCTGAACGCACTGGACGGCCGTTTCGCCCTATTGTGGGACTCCTCAGCAGTGAGCATCCACGATCCCGCTCGCGGGATTAGAATCCTGGGCCTTCAATCTCGCAGCCGAACGCTCAACCTACTGAAGTTGATACCTGTTTCTACCCGACACGGATTAGCTCCACTGGTCACGGCTTCTCACTAGAACTCCGAGAACTTGATAATCTTCACAACCCGTATACTGATAACTAACATGTGCTCACTAGTGACTATCTTAGTGAAGGAATTCTCGGAGTTCTGGTGAGAAGCCGTGACCAGTGGAGCTAATCCGTGTCGGGTAGAAGCAGGTATCAACTTCAGTACAATGGAAGATGGTCGCGCAATTTCGTGGATTGATTGATGTTAAACACTAACACCATTGGATGCCGGCTCAGTGGTCCAGTAGGTTGAGCGTTCGCGTGCGAGACTGAAGGCCCAGGATTCTAATCCCGCGAGCGGGATCGTGGATGCTCACTGCTGAGGAGTTCCACAATAGGACGAAACGGCCGTCCAGTGCGTTCAGGTTTCCAACAGTGGTCTAACATATATCGGTTCATGATCTCAATCAAAAACTTAATAATCTCCACGACCCCTATACTCATAGTTATTTTTATTTGAAATTATATGGTGGTATGGTAGCATCTATTTTAGATACATTTTATCTTTATACTGTTCTGCAAAGATGAAAACCTTTAGATATGGATATCAGGAAAACAATCCTCTCCAGATGAGGTTGTTGAGGAGATTCAGAAAATTCCTCGAAAAAAGCCCGAACAGGCCCTGAAAACTTTTTTCAACTAGAGTTCAGTAGAAGTTTCTCAGAAACATCTAGAAAGCGAAGATTCAAGCGTCACATTTCTGATGGGATGATGGCCTGTCCTGCTTCTATGTTGAGATGGGTTCCGGAACGTCCCAGAAACCCAAGACAATCTGAAACTCTAGAAAAACCCTCGATTTTTGTACATGACCTAACCTAGGAATAAAGCATTCTTTCCATATTTCGAGTCATTTCTTTCGTGTTCAAGTTGTCGCGTAGATTTAGCCTGGGGTTACTAAAGAAGCTTAAGAAACCGATTCAAACGTTCAGTCAGAAGGTTTATCAGAGATATAATAAACTAAACGGAAACAACTTCCCACTGGTTTGTCGATTTCCAATGAAAATGATCTTCTTACAGGTCAGAAAGCTCTATGGAAAAAATACCCTAATAAACAATTTAATGTTTTGATAAAAATTTGCTTGTGTCTATTACTCTGTAGTCTAGGTCAAGTAATTTTGTCTACTAGTTCTACATAATCTAATACTCGCACCTGTTTATTTCTGTAGTGGCATTGGACAATAGCCACACAATCCACAAAGCTGTGAACACGAGACTACTCAGAAAATAGATATTCAATATTTAACGCGGAGAAATACCTAACAATGGAGAAGGCACGAACAATGAATTGAATGGACTGGGTTTAATCGGATGGCATGGCTCGGCCATGCAGGCGTGGTCCATCTGAAGGTTATCTTATATCTTCTATTCGTATTAAATATATTGTTCCTTCTCTAGCCTAACGTTGTTCTACATCATGTATTGGTAATTGATACGATACAGTGAGTTGGCGTAGTCGATGGTGTGACTTCCACGTAAGATCTTATAGATTAGGCAGTTATATCATGACAAATCTACAAATTTAGAAATAGGTCTATTATTAGAGCAGCACTAATAACATACTAGACCATAATTCCACATTTCCACTGTTACTGGGTTCTAACACGTATTGGTCTCAGCGTTTAAGTTGGTCGATGATTTATGGATCCTACATGTTGTTAAACAAAAACCTGTTGTTATAGGAATTAAATATAAATTGAATGTCATGACCCAGATTAGTGCATATAGGTATAACTTTCGAAATACATGCTTCCGATATTCAATGAAAACGTCAGCATGTCAGCAGTCATATTTTTTGCGAGTTTCATGCTAAATAAAACTTTTACTTCGTATTTTACGGTTATTGACAGCTAAAAATCCTCAAAACGAGGCTGATAACTTCATACTTATAGATCAATAAATGTGCACTTATGATTTAAAGACAGTTTTATCCACGAAATTACATCAATTAGAGAACCACTGAAACACTCAGAAGGGGTAAAACACGGCTCTATTCTAGATTAGAATTTCTCAATAGTTCATATGAATAAATTAATACGGAACTGAACACAAAACTTATAGGTCGTACAGAAATAACAGCTTCATCAGACTTCTCAGTAGAAACCCAATGACTAACGTTCCCAACTCCAGTAACTTTACCCCGTCAGGAGTAAATGCCCCAATCTTGACATGTATGAACTTCGATGTCAAAGATTTCCTACCATAGCTCTAAGGATTTATTTCGAAACTAGTGACCAAATGTGCATTGTTTAGTTGGGTGGCTGACGGTGATTTCTTCTATATAAAAACATTTTTCCATCAATAATCGAAGTTTTCCGGCAAATTCCAGAAACCATGAAATAGTGAACAACTGTCTTGTCAAATTCGACATGATTATCATCGTCAGAACTCGAAGACTAAATTCTATCTGATATGCGATTGTGAGCTATATAGTGCTCTCTGATTTTGAGAGGTTTGCCAGTCGATGTCATCCCTTAGTGAATTCTATCTTCGAATTAAATGTTTATATGCGTACCAATCAAATAAGAAAATACATATTTTCTTATGCTTTTTGTATATATTACCAGTGTTGCAGAAGTAGATAATATACATTTCTCGCATTATTTTGTTTGTGTTAGGGGCTTGAGTAAGAAGTGTCACCAAAATATCACTGAATACTAACCAAGTCACTTGTTAAGCTGAAGTATGTCTATTTCTAGTGGTTGACCAATAGACAGTGAGTTGTCTATCGATTTGTGTCAGGGTAAAAGATTCAAATGGTTCAAATGGTTGTGGACGGAATGGAAGAAGCTTTTGCTTAACGGGCTTCCGTGTCTAGTAGCAGTGAATCATCAATACCTCCATGCAGAAACCTAGGTGTAATAGTGACAACAGATTAGAAAGAAATTGGTAAATCATAGTAGGATATTATGCTTAGTTCTTAAGATTAGGTCAAGTTTTCTCCTAAAGAACTCCTGGAAAGTCGTTTGCACTAGCTTTGCGGAAAGCGAATTCCAGCATTTGACAACTTTTAAGGAATAAAAATTGTGTCCACAGTCCGTTCTGCTTTGTTGTGCCTTTTGTTTCTGGGATTTACCCATTTGGTTTTTGTTGGAGTTAAACCTAAGTAGGTGTTTGAGGGGATATCCGGAAGTGTTAAGGATACTGTAAGCCATTGGAAGGTCAACTCTAGGACGCCTATGCTCTAATGGGTACAGGTTTAGTGAATGGAGGCGCTTATCATAAGGCTTGAATCTTAGTCCTTCAACTGATTACGTGGCTCGCCGTTTGATACGCTCCTGATGGTAAATGCTAATTGAATAATGTACACTATGCAACTGGAGCATACAGCAGTTAATCACTATCGACTGTGTTATTAACCTATTCCCTTTAGATCAAAACGAATCACTTCTGTCGTATGATTGAGCTTGTTCTTTAAAAATCCCAAGGAATAAGGTTAAGCAAGACATCAGGTTTAGTAAGTTTTTCGGTCACATTAAATAGACAAGCAATACTGATCAAACGTTTGATTTTTCTAAATTTTAGTTCTTTAAGCCGACTTCTGCCTTTTACTATTTCATTCATACCTTTATTTGCTGAAAAATTTCAACTGTGAGTTTAGCAGCTTCAAGGGCGAATGTTAGCCTTGTCACAAGGTGAAAATAACCGGTTCTTATAAGTGGCAACGAAGATGTCGACGTTTGACAGAAAAGCTGAATTAGAGATGAAGAAAGCGAAACTAGCTATTCTTAGGGAAAACAAAATTAAAAGAGACAAGGTGAAGATTGATGGAACAAATGGGGGAACTCAAGATAACCTCAACAACTATGGTTCGGCCCAAGGTCTTAGGATTGAAACTGAAGAGTTATTGAGAACTCTTGGGATTCCTGTTTCAGATGAGCCGTTGTCTCAGGTTTCAGACGATCGTGTTCTCTCTAAAGGGACTTCGGATCCACCACAGTAAGCTTAGATTCCATCACTGCTATTCTTTAAGTACGAAAACGGATAGCCAGAAAAAACGCAAAAGGTTGGGGTTTTCTCAAATAAACGAAATCAATGTTCCCCCGAAAGAGAATATATCTTATTCTAAAATCACCCAAACATTTGAGTCTTACGTCCCACAACATGGTATGTCTCTTTTGTTACATATTCTCACTACTTAGTTCCTAGTGGCGTTCGTACTGGTAAGTTTTTAGCTAGGGAAACTTTATCATAGATTCTCCACGCGAGGTTATAGGTTCTCCAAAGTTCATGACTCATTTAGAATGGGATGACGAATTTTCTACTGGTAAGTCGATCATTTTCATATACATATATATCGTTTGTATTTGATTCACTTGAAATAAGCACCTTTGTCACCGAAGCGTTTTGCAGGTTTGTTTACATAAGTGTCACTTTTGGTGTGGATGTATACGTACTATGGACTTATGGTACTTTTGACGCTTTTACTATTTGATACGAAATTTATGTATGTTCTTCAAGCCATTTTTAATATATCAAAATTGTTCTGATGGACAAATTGCGTTAAGTTTATTATCTTTTGGTTAATCTTTATTACCTTTGTTTTGGTGGAATATTCTCAGTGTGATGTTTTCCTTATTCTAGCTCTAACTTTTGATGAATCGGTAAATGATACTCTTGATATGACTGCTGTAATCAATGAAATACACAAAATTCCACTGGTTAGTTCAGTTGCTGCTACAAAGACTCCTGTAGATACAGAAAGAGAGAATGAACATTTGAAGCCATTAAAAGGTAAGTATTTTAATCCAAGATTTTTTGTGGCGAGACTTTAATATATGGACGAACCTTGAACGAATCTTAAGTGACCTTGGCAATTATTAGCCAATCAGAAGGCAGTTGGTATAAAGTAAAAATATATTATAAGGAACTAATGAATTACAGTGGATATTCTTTTACGTGATTTAAAAACTTGTTAAGGTTTGGTAAAGGTTCAGATGTTCTGAAATCATAATGCATACGATATAGGAACTCGTCCATATGGCTCCATAATAGTCGTCCTCTGGAGCCGTGGTACGGTCTTAAAATTTCCTTCAATCTCGACCACATGGCTTCAGTGTTGTTAGTATGAACGCCGGTAGTAGGGTCGACAAAATGCGTTTATGCACTTCGACATGACGGACATACCTAAGTCTCTGAAGGCATCCATACGCTCTCCAATCGTCTGTATATACCGTAGTTCCCGGCTGTACTTATTTCTTTATAATTGGTATTATTGTGCTTGCTTGACGGTTTCTCACCCTCTGGAAATGCCCCTTTTGCGTTGAGCGATCATAAATTCCAAGTACCTGTCAAGTACATTTACGGGAGTGCTACTTACCCAATCTTCCTTGATACTACGTCCCCTGTTGTATTTTCGCTTTCGCACTACTGTTCCATCTATTTCCACAATACTTCCGACTCCTCAGAATGATTCGTGTAGACGTGTCATTTTAAGCCCACAGTACAGTGTGCGGACTATCTTGGTGAGATTGTATTTCGTTATTCTTTATGTTGGAGAAAAAAGTCTGCTCGAACGGGGACTTTCTTCTCTCGATCGCGACTTGAGACTGAGGCAAATCATGATAATAGTTACAAATTGGATTATAAAGGCACAAGTAACACTGGCTGCGGCGTTTGCAGATGTTACTGAAACTTCATCCGTCCAGTGGTATGAGTATTGTCGCGATATATGTGCAGTATGGCAACTTGGACCGATGCATATATGTGCCTGGCCTTACGTTGTAACTTACTGACTAACCGGCTTCCCTTTAATTCTTAGAAAACCTAATTTAAATTTTTTAAAACTAGTAATATGCTTTATACACGAGTTTCACGGCTAAACTACATGATTGTTGCTGCATTTTTAATGTTACTTGTAAAAGATGCAGTAATTGTTAAATCTATAAAAAATGGTTACACGTAAATATACAGGTATCTAAGAGAATCTGAGCTTTGTCGGATTAAACATATGAGTGCTGACTAAAGTTTTATAGTACTACCTTTTAAGTGTTCCTACTTTCATGAAATCAATTGTTTTGTCAAGGTCAGCTTAACAACATTCCAATGTATGAATTTTTACTGCATGAAGGAATCCCTTTACAAAGTGGAGAGACAAGTTTAAGAACATCTGTTTTGTGTTTATCATAACTCACTGATAAAGTTCTAAATACTGGTTAATTCAACTGCTTTAGTTACCAGACGTTGTTTTATTAATTAGAGCATAAACTCTTTTAAAGAGTTGAATATTTTCTGAAAATCATTGCCAGATAAGTACTTATTCGTAGTATAACTCCTAGGTTACTCAGAGACTAATCATACTACAAAAATGAAAATAAAACGATATTTTAAAGAGCCGAGTTTCTTAGTGCTGCAAACAAATAGAAATTAAAGACCTTTTCAGGGTTACAACAATATGTTTTCAAAAGAAACTTCCATGTTAAAGTTTTCAGACTAATTAAATTACTAAACGTATCAGATGTAAATATTTACTATATTTCAGATCGAGAATGCTTCCAATCCATATACTTGAGTTTCATTAACTTGTTGGCTTGAATACAGGAAACTGAATGAAAATTTGACAAAAATCATAAAGCCTGTGACCGAACTTAGTCGAATCAGATTGGTAAATCTTCGTAACCTATATTTGGTATCTTAGGTGGTAGTGATTCAGATTTATCTTTGATACTGTCCAAGATATGTTGGGATTAATAATATCTTAAGTCTGATCGTTTTCATTGATAGTTTCATGTGAAAGAAAGACTGAAATCCCCCAAAAACAACTATAGTAAATATTTGTTTGGGGAATATTTGCTGTCGAATCTTGATATATAAAATCACTCAGATCAGTAACATCAGTTGGACTTGTAAACGGTGGTTAGCAGACAATTCTCAGACTAATTTTTCCATTTGTCCACCAATTCTGTACCTTTTCAGGCTTATTCATTCTTCGTCTAAATCTTTCACTAGCATGTTATTTTTTGATTATACGGATTTTTTTCTTCCATTTATCCATCTATTCTCTCATGGTATTTATTTTATTATGTTGTTGAGACTAATGATAACTGCGATTAGACTATATTTCTTCACTTTTATGTTTGAACAAAACCTAACTAAAGTACACTCATTTTCTTTCAATCAAAAAGAATGAATAATTTTTGCAGAGCTTTTACTTTGTTGGTTTCATGAAGTTGACCAAAAGTAACTAAAATAATTCATATTGCGCAAATAATAGGATGCCATGGGATTTACCCTCACATTTTATTCGAACTGTACAGAATTGTGCTGATCATTATTTTTGCTCACAAATATAGCACATTAGGGGTGCATCTAGTAAAGTTCGCTAGCGACTGTGTGGCCATCTCCAACTGTTTTTGATGGAGATCAAGAAAAGAAATTTTGCATAACCTATACTTCGATTTAAAGAGATTCAAATGGAAAAATTATTCTAGTAATAATGTAGTTCCTCATATACAGGTCGTAGCTATTTCTGTGGTGTTAAACTGTTGGTTACTGTTTGACTACCCAGTAACTTTTCAGTTGTTAGTACTGTTTATCAGGTTGCACTATCAATAATGAAGCTGGTTATGTGAATTTGGTAGTTTTTCTAAATATTTAGGAAAACTCATAGTTTTTGTATATGACTAGATTTCTTGCTATTTTTGCTCGTTAAATGTATCTGTAAAATTATCCTCATTCTATTGTATTCCATTCTTGGTTTGTACAGTAATACAACTCACAGACGAGGAAAGAGATGCAATTATGAGATCAGATAGATTTCATCGTTTCTTTGACAGGGCATCACGACTGATAGAACGAGCATTAGATGAACCTGCAGATATATTTATTGATTATAGTGGTGGAGATCATGATGATACCGGGTATGTGTAGTTTCATTTTTCCTTTAACATTCAAAGGTATTGATCTTTTACGCTTATCACCTGCAATTTAACAGGTTTTAACCAGTTATTTGGTATTTTTATCATTTATGTTTCATGTGCAACAGTTAGTTGTGAGTGTATTTATATTAATAGAACAAATGAATGATAGTTAAGTTTCTTGGCTTTTCTAAGTGTTCTCGTTTATTTAAAATGTCTTCAATGATTTTTTTGATGTTGAATGACTAACCCCAGATTGTATCTTTATGTAATAATCAAATCAGCAAATAACTGACATATATGATTAAATATTTCACTTTTCTATGCAAAGTTTTTACTAAATACTAGGGTAAGTTAGTAATCCGGGCCACAATCAGTATCAAAATGAAAGTATATGTAATATTTGTGTATGTATTCTAAGAGTAGTTAAGACAAATTATTTATATAATTATTTTCAGTTTGTTATGTGTTAATTGTATATCACTGTTATTTTTATCTTGTCATGGAATTTCACATAACAAGGTGATTTTTATGCACCAATCGTTCGTAAATCTTCCTGCTCATGATGATTCAAACTGTAGGTATAAAAAGTGTGGTAATTGACTAAGTTTTTGTCAAGCAATATATTATTTATCTGTCATAAAATATTTATTTCAATAGTTGAAATCATGAGTCAATTAAAGCTAGACCACCATGGAAAACCTGGAAGCACTGAACGGCCGTTTCGTCCTATTGTGGGACTCCTCAGCAGTGCGCATCCACGATCCCGCACCCCGCGGGATTTTATGCTGAGTGTTTATTTGGTTTGTTAACTGTTGTCATTCGTATGTGAATGTTCTTTAATATTTGTAAACGCTTTGGATGCAGGGTTTATTGGGAATACTGGATCTTCAAATACACCATATTAGATAGAAATCAATTTTAAAATTCACGGATTGATTTAAAATAATTCTTTCTGACTGGCTTTCATTCAATTTCCATTTGTATTGATTTTTTCAATCTGAAACTAATTGTTTGATTTTTTTAAAGCATCCTCATTTTATTCATAAATTCACTGTGATTTCGTACACGAGTAACGCTTAGTGAATCTGATAAATTTTGTGTTTAACAATCGTTGAATTTAATCGGCATATAATTACATTAACTCAAATTTAAGTAAATTCTTTAGGGATCTTGACCAATACACATACTTTATGAGACTTCTCTCTGTTCCAGTCGCGCGGGAGATTATCATTGAAGTTGTTGGGATGTTCAGGAAAATATCCCAAAAATTATTCTGTTAAGTCTAACACTATCCTTATTGGTCAATATTTACTTCACGTGTCGTTTTCCTACTGGTCAGTATTGTACAATGTTATTTTCTATTTTATGGTACGATGTGGTCTGCTTGATTAGTGTATAAACAGAGTATGTTTGAAATATAGTGATTCATATCTCTGAGGCTGAGACTTGCGTTCTGGACTCAACTGGCTGGACTGGACAGGGAAGTGGAACCAATCAGAGCCCTAGGCCGTTCTTGCGTGTTTGCGCGTCTTTGGTCCGATCGATAATTCGCTGTCCTCTGATCTGCAGCATCACAGTTATGGCAGAAGTGTTATGTATTAGTCGTTTGATCTGTCCAGTTTTCATAAAATCTATTACATATTGTTAGGAACTCCCAGTCTCCTATAGTTCAAAATTACCTCATCTCTCCAATCTCGATTCTCATAGGGTTTCGAGAATTAAAATCTCGTTCTATTTTCTACTGAGGCCTGATTGTAAAATCTGTGACTTACGCAATAAATGTGGATTAGCATGTAGTACATAAATTTGTTGGACGTTACTAAGTTGCATTAAAATCTGTACGAATTTCAGCCGTGAATACGTCTTAGATACCCACCTTTCAACTATTGGATGAAAGATTTAAATTTAGATTCACCTACCGAAATTTTCAAGATATTTTCCCTTAGGAAGTATCACATAAAGGTTTTTATCCTACGCCTTTAGATTTATTTTTGGTATCAAATTTGTTAACTAGTATAAAATTAAAAAGGTTCTTTCGTTTTAATAATCGATGCCTTAAAACATCGTTTTCCCGCTTTTGGACAATTGAATCATCAGAGCGAAATAGATAATAATAGTGGTGGTAAGTATGAGCCAGTAGGGACGATTGGTGCCAGTATTATATCTTCCAGATCATTTTTTCTTGAAATAGGTTTATAATAAAATACTAGTTAAATCAGAACACTAAACTATTTCATAAAGTGTTTCATTATTAATCAGGATAATGGAAATAAGGTGTAATTCAGCTCTCTCCCCTTATGTCCAGGTTCCTGCATTAGGTTATGAGCTGTATACGCACTAACTGCAGTATGCACAACAACAACACCATGCCGGTAAGAATCTAGGTAGTATAAGGTTAGATTTTTAAATTCGAACCTACAAGATACTAAATATTGATAATCAAATCTAATCGCACTTCATTTCGTTGTATTATCATAAATTCTTTGTTTTTTTGAATTCATCCTATCGTTAGTATATGGTATTAAGTGGTGAAGTTAATGAGTTGCTACTGTTGATATCTGGTAATGGTTTCCTAAACATTTGAAAACAACACTGCAGCTGTATAGTTTTGGCTTTGAGTTTAATCTATATGTGAACTATTTTTAATGAAGTCGTTGTTAGCTTAGCTGAGTAAACTTTGTAGTAGCTGAAATCTGTTCTATTACTATTGTCATTAATTACGGTTTAATGGTCTAAGGATTTGACTTTAAGTCATCGCGTCATGTGTTTAAAATCCACTCTGGGTTCGAAGTTTTGGACAACCGACTAGTATTGTTCGTCCTCACAGAATAAGTTTTGCTTATGTTTCAAGGTATCCATTGCCATATAGTTTCATTCGTCTTCTGTTTCATTTGACAATAAGTATTTATTTCCAATTTTGAATTTCTTATAGAAATACCCAACGTCATCAACTTGTAAGATTTAGTCGTGACTTTTTGATGATCGGTGGTCAAGAAGACGCCTAGTCACAGCATTGGATTGGTCACCAATTTTTCCTGAGTTACTTCTTGGTGCTTATCATGCAAATGATGAAGCTCCACATGATCCTGATGGAGTATGTTTAGTGTGGAACTTGAAATTTCAGAAAACAACTCCAGAGTATATTTTTCATTGTCAGTCTGCTGTTACTTCAGCAACCTTTGCAACTTATCATCCAAATTTGATTATTGGTGGGACATATTCTGGACAAATTGTATTGTGGGATAATAGGTATCTGTACGGTATTTTGTTTGTTTCTTGTTACGTCCTAATGGATTTTTTGTTTGCTAGCATTGTCAAGTCATGCTTTATATTTCCTGGCTCCTTTATAGTAGTCAGCTACTCATTAACCGTTTATGTATGGTTGCAAATATTTTGCGCAAACTGACGGATGTTATTAAATCACCACACGCTGTATAGGTCCTTTTTGAACACAAACACAAGAATAGCTTCATTCTTGGATTATGGAGCAATCATTTTTTCCATACACTTGTAGATAGTCTAGTCACTTTGAAAGAGCTAACGGTTTCATATATATCCTCATTTTGTGTAGGTACTTGCAATGCAACTTATTTAAACCCAATCATGTACAGATAAAATTTGTCAGATAGCACACTGATAATGTCTGTTCTAAGTTGCAATGCTGACAAGTGTTGAAGACGGTTGGAAGAAAGTTAGGGGCAGCCAAACCAAAACGTGGTAGCAATCCTCGAAGTCACTAACTTCTAGTCTTAGCCATGTTGGTAGATACAGACTACTTGGCTGGGGTCCGCATGACTATCGTAACCAATGGTTAGAGACTTGATAAAGAAACCCCTGCTGTTCAAACGAATAATTGTACCCATTGGTTAGATAATTGACTTATTCAAGTCCCAAACTAGCACGACACCATATGTCGTCGGTGTTTGGTTAAGGCGATTTAGTTGGTAGTAGGATTAAACATACTTCACTAGATTAGGTCAACTAAAATGCATAGTTTCCCATTTCCATTATTTTTTTATTTTGATTGAACCCTGAAATATAATGTATAAGTCCGTGTTCAGCTACTAGTTTTTGACGGATGATGTGAGTTTGAATCCAGTTGCATGTGGTGTATAATGTTTCACTTTGACCGCTGTAGCTAATAGTATCCAATCCATGTTTTTCCAGTCACTTCTATCCGTATTCAGTTTCACGATTATATGCTATTAATATTTAGCCTCATGTGTTCTTGTATGATATACATTTATTTGATAAATTTTATCGTTCTACAACACTACTGTCTCGGATATTTTTTAACTTTACGCATAAAACAAAAAAGAACCAACCTTTCCATACGTTTACTCCATATATCTGGTTATCTCCTATTTTTATGATAATTTGACTCATATACAAATAATTCATTTCAATTTTACATCTATTTGGACTTGGTTGGAAGTAAGTTTTCATATTTAGTATTGAGCAGACATTAAGAGCAATAGAGTATTTCGTCGTGTAAATGAACCTATTCTGTAGTTCAAGTTGTTATTACCACTGTATAAATACTTTATAGCTTGTGTAGAGTTTAATCTCCGCACTATAAATTTACTCACAGTTGGTGTACAGCTATGTTATCCTATGAATATTATAAATTAGTTTATGTTTTGCCTTTTAAATCCAGATTATTTGAGGTCTTATAAAGTGGAGAGAATCTCATCATTACTTTATTATCATTATCAGTTTTTGTTATCAAGTGTGATATTTTACTCAGATTTCATTTCTCTTAATTTATATTTTAGATCAACCAAGCGAACACCGGTACAACGGACACCATTATCAGCAAGTGCACATACACATCCAGTTCATGCAGTTATGATTGCAGGATCATTGAATGCACACAATTTGTTAAGTATAAGTTCTGACGGAAAATTATGTACATGGAGTTTAGATATGCTGGGTCAACCTCAACAAGCCATGGAATTAACACATAGGCAAGCTCGTACTGTAGCTGCAACATGCATGTCATTCGTAGATGAGAATGTTAACAATTTTTTGGTTGGGTCAGAAGATGGACGAGCTTATGCTGGTTCGCGTCATGGAAAGTAATTTAAAGCTTTTTTTAAACAATTTGTATGGATTATTTAAAAAAGAAATACGGATTAAAATTGAAACTTACACACAGCTTTCACTCGTAACTAAAATTCATGGTTGCTATATTATGTCCTTACTTTTTCCTATCATTGAGAACTTACAAGTTATATTTCACTACAGATTTAAACTTTTATTTGACCAACTCAGGCAATTAATATGCTGGACTAAATTTGAATCTGTTGTATACCATTTATCTCCTTGTAGTTATTTAATTCGTTATCATAGTTTATTACATAACCTTTTATCCAAAAAGTACATTTCTAACAATTAAAATTTTAACAAAATGAAACAAAATAATCAGTTAGTCCTGTTGATATAGAAGATACTTGCTTCATCAAGTGGAAAATGAAAATAATAACGTTGAATTTATCATCAAGTTCATCTGTTTAAATTCCTTTTCTTCTTAATAACGTATAAAGAAAAAATCAATAAAGACAGAGTAATAATAAAATGAAAAAGAATATGATTAATGATATTTGATTAATTGATCAGTAAACGAATGATCCAGAATTGGACAAAGGTAAACAATGAACTCGCCCGTGCCATTTTAGTAGACTTCATGTTATGTCGTCTAACATCTCCAACCATTAATTTTTACTTTCCATAGAGCCTCATACAAAAGGTCTATGTATGACTCTTCCAAGAAGCTAATGACTTCATGAATTGTTGTCTCTTTTTGACCTAAGATTATTCACACTTCTAAATATCAATATATATATATCAAAATAATCTGAATGAAATTGCTGGATAAAAGATATTTATAAGTGCATTTTAAGCAGATATGTGTTTAGACTTAAAACCTAATAAAGCAAATATACATCACAGCAAAAAGAAGAATATTTTTAGTCTGTTGACATATACCGGCTGTATATGTGTGTTAGTAGGGAAGTAGAAGGATTTTAAAAAAGTACGAAACATGAAAGTGATAATATTTGCAACTTGTTAGTCAATCTCTAATTTTCAGATGGAAAGAATAATCAAAGATTTTAAGTTTACTTGATTTTGTTGTGGATTAACGTTTAGTGTAGACTTTCTAATTTAGATATAGTGAAGTCGTCTACAATGATTTATACAAAACAATTACTTTACTTCATCCTTTTTTTGTATTAGTTGGTAGATTGGACATTTTGTTTTAGAAAGTTTGGAGGCGAAACTATAATTAATGAACGAGCCAATCAGATTTAGGGTAATAGGTCTTGGATTTTGGCGCAAAATTCATTCATCCATTCGGATAAGTAACGTTTCGGCATTTAAGCTGATGTCAGTTCATGATGAAAACCGTAAATCTAATCCCTAACCCTAACCACCAACCGTAAATCATTCTAATTCCTCACACTAGCTTTTAACCCCCATGTAGTCCTAGCTGTTAGGTAGACAATCTTAAGGTCTCTTTAGCGTCACTCAAAGGTCGTCCATAAATTATAGTCTTATCGATAGTTATCCTCTATATTTTACCCAATACTTTTCATCCATCTAATATGACTAGTTTTTTTCTATTGGAATATATAACAAGATGTTTTATTATGCAGTGATTTTCCGGAATCAGGGTTTCCCGACTCCCTTAGGTGAATCCTCCCTTTCCACCAATCCAGTTAAAGCGCCGGACATTCGCTTTTCGTCTTCTCAATTTCGTAAACAACAACCCTGCCTCGAGAAGGCAGTGAGTAGCACTTCCACGGCAGTGGTTGTATGCACGTGGCCTTGTGAGAGCGTTTCGAAAGGGAGAGATGACTCTCCCCACCCTCGGCCTTCTAGTGCATTTAGGGGTATTTTAGTGATTAGGAGTTGTGATCGTATGTACAGTATGGATTGTATATTTTACATCTTGTTAATCTGCGTTGTCGATACCTTGTGTTTTTTAGTCAAGCAGGTATCAGCGATGCTTTTGAAGGTCATCAGGCTCCTATCACATCAATTTCATCTCATCCACTCAGAGATTCTGTGACAATTTCACCACTGTTTCTTACTACTTCTCTTGATTGGTCCATAAAACTGTGGTCTGTCAAGGAAACCCGTCTTATATGTTCATTTGAAGAAGCTTCAGATTATGTTTTTGATGCTCATTGGTCGCCTATGCATCCAGCTGTATTTGCAACTGTCGATTGTACAGGAGGCCTTGATTTATGGAATTTAAACCAAAACAGCGAAGTAAGTTTTTGATGTTGTTTTCTAGATATTTTCATTTCTTGAAGTATTCTTAAAAGTATTATTACTTACCTTAAACAAACTAATTCTGTTCCAATAACATCTTTTCAAGAACTAAATAAATAGTTAATTAAGGTAATCAATACGTATTTTTGTTCCGATTTATTAAGCCATTCGTTCTTTTCGGCCATAAAGTAGTATTAATGAATGAATTTAAAAATAGCTTTTACCCACTCATACATATTTGGGATTTCCTGGAAAAATATATACCCACTGAATCGGATTTTGAATAAATTCATTCCATTTTTGTAAATGAAGTATTAATTTCCGATTGTTCCTCTGTTTATGCAACAGTTTAATGAACAAGAATGATTCACTTGTGTGTGACTGAAAACATATTTTCTCAATTCATGATTACGTTAATGTAAATTTTCTAAATGGAGATTCCATTGTCTTAATTAAGGTTCACAAGATGGGTTTAATTGGTTATAGAGTTTGGGTAACTAAAAATCTAGGACAGTATCAGGAATACATTCACTTTTTATTTTCTTTTAGATTTCAAATATATCATTCTATATTCTTTATAAACGGTAGTATCGAACTAGGATGAGACAACAGTCCAGTTTTTCATAGTTTACCCTATTTCTCCAGCTTATGTCAGTATTTATTAAAAATGGTCTACATATTGTTTATTAATTATACAATTTAGTAATTACTCCGCCTGTAGCTCTTCTAGGGATACTACCGGTCCCAAACCCACACAAAGGAGGAGGGTTGGGCGTGGGGTCGGCAACCCCATCCCGTACAAAACAGCATTGCTAAAAAACGCTAACCAGAATAAACAATTGAAACCTTTAAACTCTGCCCTCCGAGTTGAAGGAAGAATTATGACTCATGATAAAAGCCAAGATTCTTTTGAAGTCACGAGCCCGATGTCCCTTCTAACAATCAGAGCAATAATTTTTATAGATACATGGAACGTCCGGACAATGTTGGAAACCGGGAGGACCAGTCAGATAGCAACGAAAATGAGGAGATACAACTTGGCAGCACTTAAGATAAGCGAAATTCACTGGACCCTAGCTGGACAGCAAAGGTTAGGTACGGGAGGGATGCCTCTGTCCTCCAATTACGAAAAGGGAAAATGCTCTACACACTCGGAGAGGTACTCTGATTCTGTCCAAAGGAGCACAAATTGCACTTATAGGATGGGAATCTCATAGTCCCAGAATCATCAACGCATCCTTCAAAAACAAAGGAGGGAATTTCGATCAATGTTATGCATCCACCAATGATAGCAATGACGACGATAAAGATCAATTTTACAAGAGGCTGCAGTTGATCACAGAGAAGTGCCCAGGAAAGGACCTGACCATCCTGATAGGAGATCTAAACGCCAAAGTCAGAATGGACAATAATGGGTATGAAAATATCATGGGACAACATGGACAAGCTGGGAGAAAGGATCGAGAATGGTGACAGATTTCCAAATCTATGTGTATTCAGCAAATTGGTTATTTATAGGCGGCACAATATTTCCACACAAATACATACATAAAGCTACATGGATCTCATCGGACCACACCACAAAGAACCAGATATATCATATTTGTGTCAATAAGAAATTCAGAAAGATAATGGAGAACGTGATGGACGATGGACTGGAAAGAATGATATCTCATCATGATACCAAAGGAAGTAGATCTGAGCAAATGTGAGAATTAACAACAGAGGCATCACACTGCTCTCGGTACCAGGAACATTTTCAACGGTGTTGCTGAACTGGATGAAAGTTTCAGTAGTGTTATAACGGTTGGTTTTACTTCGTCTACACGTATGGAACGTTAATTTATCTTAGACGAATATCTACACTAGATTCCCTCCCAGTGTCTATTCTACAGGTTTTCAACACAACTCAGATCAAGAACACGTGATTAGCCTGACTAGAAAGTAAATATGTTTCCATACCAAAAACCCGACACAATCCAACAACAACTTGTGGTGTTGGTGGTGGTATATTAAATGTATCACATAATACTTCCATTCGTGAAGGTTTGGGTTTAGATGACTCATAAACGTTTTTTCTGTCTCGTAGTTGATTGATGTGTCTAATAATTAGTGTACTTTCAACAACCACTCCATACAATACCATCCCACGTCTTTTTTTACACATCCGAATATCCATTTTGGCTTACCAGGCCGGAAATCACGTGCATAGACTAAGTCAGCTGCTTTGAATTCTCGAATCTTGGGACGATCCTCGTTCTTATTTTTTTGTAGTCCACTCATTCTGTCTTTCGGGTACAAAACATCAAAAAATGTCCTAATTGGTTAGCCAAATATTATTTTGGCTGGTGATTTAGTCATATTGCAGACAGCGCTCAACGACGTTCCCATAAACCAGATTTATTTATCCAATCAGTAAGTTGGTATGACAGATCCCAGATACATAACATTTTCCGGTCATAGTCTTGTCACCTAATGTGAGAGGTAGCTGCAATTTTCCAAGACGAGTAATGTTAGTTCCTGTCGCACTCCTAGCATCATAATGTGTAGGTTGATATTGAGGTCGACCAAGTTTTATCCAAGGCTCTCTAGAAATTAATGTTATGTCAAACTCTATCAATTTTCAGCTTAACCGGTTAACCATTAAACAAGATAGTTGCGTTCTTCCTGTTAGATGGAAATTGAGCACCTTTTGTGGCCAAAACAACATTCAAATTATGTTGTATCTCTAGATGGTAGTTGGAGGTAGTTGACAGGAAACCCTGGACCTGGGTTTCGTGCTACTTGGCGCTCGTCGGTAAGGTGTATCTGTAATCTTGAGGGAACTGGTGCTCCCTGACGAATTCGATCCCGTGTCACCCAGCTTCACAGTCAGAGATGTTACCAGCTGACAAATACATCCGATTGAGGACCAGTGTCATAAAAGCCTACCTACTCTCCCACTTTCTCTTTGTTCTATTGTTTGACTAGATTGTGATTACCTCGACATCTGACAGGAAGCACAGAATAAAATGGACAGGTTGGATGCAAATAGACGATTTGTACTTCGCAAACGACCTGGCCCTTCTATCCCATACACATCAAGAAACGCAGGTGAAGACGACTAGAGTAACAGCAGCCCCTGCATAAGTAGGCCTCAATAAACACAGTGGAAAAAGCAAGATCGTCAAATACAACACGGAGAACATCAACCCAATCACACTTGATGAGAAAACTCTGGAACAGGTGGAAACGTTCACGTACCTGGGCAAAATCATCGATGAACATGGAGGATCTGATGCAGCCGTACAGGCAAGGATTGGCAAATTAAGGACAGCATTCCTATAATTGAAGAACATACGGAACTCAAAATAACTGTCAACCAATACCAAAGTGAGAATCTCCAATATATTTCTAATGTACGGAGCCGAAACTTAAAGAACTACTACAACTATCATCATAAAAGTACAAGTATTTACAAACAATCGTGTACACAAGGTACTCAGTGTCCGTCGTTGGCCGGATACTATCAGCAGCAGCCTATTGTGGTAGAGGGGAAAGCAGCTTCCAGCTGGATAAAATATTAGGAAGACGTTGGAGGTTGATAGAACATACATTACAGAAATCATCAAACTGCGTCACAAGGTAAGCGCTAACTTGGAATCCCGAAGGAAGACAAAAAAGTGGAAGGCCAGAGAACACATTGCGTTGAGAATTGGAAGCAGACATGAAAAGGACTAATAGCAACTGGAAAGGACTGCCCAGAACAGAGTTGAATGGAAAATGCTGGTGGGTGGCCTATTCTCCTTTATGAGGGGTAAAAGGCCTAAGTATGTATGTAATTTAGTAATTACTGATACAGTAGTGAAGGAGAGCACAAGTGAGGACAACCGAATTATTTTCAGTACAAAATTACAGAGTTCTTGGTCAAATAGAAAAACCATACTATAATACCTAATTTGCAAAATGTTCAGTAATTGTCTCGGACTTCATTGTTTTTGCATTTCCATACTAATTGCTTTCTACTCCCGTTCTTCCTTTCTTGATCTTCTCAATCTTCTGTTGCCAGACATTACATTCCTGACTCGCGTTATATACTGCTTATGTCAATATAAGTAGCACGCACCACAAGACTAGACTATATGATTATACAGTCATTGTTATTATTACTTGATGACTGATTAATTTTTTATCTTATTGTAAATATTTCGGTTTTGAATATGATTATTTGGATCAATAAACTACCTTTTCACTTCTGTTTGTAAATAGACTAATTTTTATTTCTTATTAAATATGGTAATTTAAGATTCAATTTCATAATAATAAACATATTATCTTGTTTAATTTTTCTTAAATATCCATTGCTTACAATCTATATTGTATCATCACTACCAACAATACATATGATAATTAGACATACTTTCATTCATAGTGAAAGGTAGTAATTAATTAGTCAGTCCAGTAATCGATTACGATTGTCAGTAAAAAGTAGTGTAATATTGTAAAAATTGTAAGGATGTGGAGTTAAATGAAAGAGTGGTGCCAAAATATTACAATGGCATATATATACATCTATACTAAATATTTTGAAAAAAGCAATAGTAATGTTGGCTTATTCCTGTGGGTGTTAGAATAATGGATTATTGAATTTTGATAGTAGTTGAGTAGTTAAGCGATGAAATTCATCAAACCAGGTTTATCAAAATCAATGTATTGAAAAGAAACAGTGTAATTTAAACAATAATGTAATCAAATAAAAGGCAGGTTACAACAACAAAACTAATTATGTAGTAATAATTCATTTCATAAGTTTAGTGTCTTCAGTATACTGTAGGAAACTTGTGTTATTTTGTTTGTCAATTAGGACTATTACATTTTTTGTGTTGATCAAACATTAAACAGTTAGACTATTAAGAGTGATTGATCAGCTAACATGTCACAAAATCAAAGAAACGTGTTTAGGTTATTCAAGAATGGTATTTTTTCTTTCTTTGTCCTCTTGACATAGTTACTTTGACAGGTGCACATGGTTTGGAAGAGAGATATGTGTAGATTTTTTTAACTTTTAGTTAAAACAGTGCATTAATGCATTCTCTATGGATGGTAACGACAGACTATTTAGCAATTTTGAAATGCATTATTGGGGATTTTTTAACATATCTGATACGAAAAATCAGAACACTGAGGGGGAATCCTGCATTCATCTATTTACTACTTGTAATTCTGGCCACCAATTTATAGTTGTATTCTTTTTTAAAACAGTGGAATTTGAATAAAGTAGATGTCACCATCAAAGGAAGGTAACACTGTAGGTAATAAAATAAATTAAAAATAAGTTTTATGTAAATAGATTGGTCACTGAGTTGTAACCGATGTCATGGTGTTTTAGTCCTTAATGCTGATCGACCGTCTATACTTTTGCCTGTGTATTTTCATATGAATTAAAATGATTATATATTTCCTGACAAAGTTCTATGCTGAATCAGGCTTTTTATCCACTATAAATAGTTTGGTTGGAAATTTCGTCCGAATAAAACCATTAATTTCACAGCAGGAATAAAACTTTTTAACTTGTGTTAATGAAATACTTTTCGAAAGTTTTTTTAAAGAATCCTTTCATGATTGTTATCTCATTCAATTCGTCAATAATATACCATTGATATTATTGCGACATACTTGATAGTTTTATCTACGACAATAATGATATACAATACTGATCTCTTTAAATATTATTATCGAGTATTATGTGTATTTATTGTTATATTATTTTCATTTTTACACATACAAATTATCACTATAGTACAACATATCTAGTTAGATAGTATATCGATCAGAATTGTTACAATTTATTCAATCACGGTAAAGGACAAATTAGATATGAGATAGAATTTGACTCAATGTGAATAATTGTACCAATAGTAGTATAGTAATCAAAGAAAAAATCGAGTGAATATATATACCTGACAATGACTACAGAACAACCTGGATTTTCAAGAATGTGAAATAACATTGAGCGTGAAAATATTTCCACTGATGTAATAAATTTTTATTAATGTCGCCTAATGTTTATTGTTTTTACTGGCTTCAACCTTAAGGTTCGCATCATTTTACATACTTTCGAATATCATAAATATGTCTTGATTTAATCCTAATTTTAAATGTCATTGAGGTACACAGTTTAAAACTATAAATATATTCAAAAATTGTACACTTCCTTTTGAGTAAGATATTATTGGTTGCAAGGTTATCTGTCTACCTATCCATTATCCATAGATAATTAGGAAATCAGTTTGCCTATACTTCATATTTTTGGTGATGTTAATTTTTCTCAGCTGAATGGTTTAATCGCAAGGCTTTCGTTATCGTTCTAGACACCATCACCAACACATCTATTTGAACACAACATCACCAAAACGCTAGCTTATACTGTAAATCTCTTTCATCATTTCGATATACTTCATATTTACACAATGTAGTCACATCTCGTAAAAGTTGAGGCACTTATTCTATTTTGGAGGGGATTTGAACGTTTCAGCAGTTATTCGAATGTCATCCTTACAAATGTGCTTACTAATAATACTGTAAATGGCATGAAATATGCAATCGACATGCAATAAAATTAAAGTTTGGCGGAAATGCTTATTAATAATCAGTTATAGTATTAATATAATAAAGAATGAATTAAAATTCAGTGAGTTGATTTCATTGGTACAAAATAAATATAGGAATTCAAGTTTATTTGGGATTATTAAAACGGTTGACGATTAATTAATGATCCCTTCTTTTAATTGTTATGGTATATGTGAATCTGAATAAGATAAAATTGTTATATATATGGATCACTGTGAATTCAATTTTTGAGGCCTATGATACGATATGAAATATTTTACATATAATGAGATAGTACACACCATTTTAAAATTTGACAATCCGAGCTAGTGCGGATCAACATTTCTTCATAACAAAGAACATTATTTCCATTGGTTCGTGGAATGCCTTTTAAAGGAATTAACAAAATACTCGGCCTTTGGAATTTATGAAATATTGGGTTGCATTTATAGAAAAATGATGTCTCAATAAAAGTCGCTATCTATAGTACGATGGCTAAATGGTTACTTTTCAAACAAGCTATCAGTATTAATTGTGAGTCAAGTAGACTACATAAAGATTTTGCACAATCGTTTCTCCAGTTGTACTTCACTCATGTTCGGTACACTGAAAGACGTAGTATTCTTATACTACTTACGTTTAAGAGAACACTGTCAAGTCAACTTGTCTTTAAATGTCGGTAAATACATTCTCTAGAAATTTATATTCGATGAAGCAATAGCAAACTTGTTTTGTGTGTTTATGTAACAAACAGTGGATATTTTGAGTATCTGAATTTACATGGCTTAATTTTTTTATCAGATAGTGATGCTTGATATTGCTTATGGAAGACATGATAGTAGTAATTCTCCTATCAAAAGTAAATAGGGTTTCGATTTGACGTTAGCTGTTGATATCACACGCAATACTGTTATCTCAAAGTACTTTGTTCATGTGTTTTGTCAATAAATGATTCAACTTATTGGAATTGATGTTTGGCGCCTCTTGATCCTCAATGATTGAGCAACCGATAATTAACTCGATTACGAGACCATATCGAAATTCAATAAAATATTCAATTCAACAGTTTAATCTCTATATATGTATGGTAAGCTTAACACACATCATACTCGTGCATGACAAGATTATGAGCTATACTCGAGCGGTTATTAATTAGAGGGTTGCGAACTCACGACTCAGTGGTTAGAATGGAGTCTACAAACAAACATATATAATCACTAATTTTTTCTTAGATAATAAGATTTATTGGTTTTTCTACAGGTCCCATCAGTTCGTACAGTGATTCCCGGTCAACCATCGTTAAACAAATGTCGTTTCCACTCATCTGGTTCACATATAGCCATTGGTGATGATAATGGACGTATTCACATGTTCGACTTGAATGAAGTAAGTGGAATTATTAAGACATCGTTAGTTAGGTATTTCTTTTATATTATTCTTGGTCAGCTATCACTCCAGTTTACGAAACAGCGGGACTTAGTTTAAGTAGTCTATTGTCTTAAATCATCAGGGTCATAAATAGTTGAGAAATGAAAGTTCCTAGGTTTCGTGATGAATGTGCTCAACACGTTCCATAGTATGGATACACCTACGGACGCCAAAACATTTCTAGTTAGGTTCCTGAAATGTTTTGTAAGCGGGAATTTACACGCAGTAATTATATCAAGAATGTCATATAGCGACAAAACTACAATTACTATTGTGTGTGTATCAATGGTCAGCCGGTACCTGAACTGTCGGAGTTCGGAGATGGTGACTTTTTGGTCAGTAAAAGTTGTCATCATATAGATGAATTTTGTGCGTGTGACGTACGCAGTTACATGGTAATATCATGTTACTTGGAATGTTGGAACTGTCACTCGACAACTGTAGGGATTCTAGCTTGTGACGTCGAGTGTCATAGCTCCGAATAGTTCGCATTGGTCCAGGTAGCTTCACTCTTTATCTTCCCCTCGATTTGGAATCAGCATCTCTTCGTACACACTTTACCAAACCATATTCCCTAGCTTTAGCCTTTCTTTCTATCATTGATACTACATTGCCTATTTTGTTATTTTCATCTCGTCATCGTAGTTGAGCATGGCAACTTACACCAACACGTAGATGTGCCAGGCTTCTGTGTTGATGTCTGTCTGCTCTATATTTGTCTGAGGTACTCCGTCTAGCGCTACATCATACTAATAAAAACAATAGGATCGGGAAGTATCTCGTAATAAACCCCAATAATATTCCCAAGTGAATACAGTCCCGGTTACATATGGTTGATAACTTCACAAGGAAATATCTGCTTGTTTTTATTCTTTAGACAATGGCAATCCCTCATGCAGACGAGTGGACGATGTTTTCACATACAATTAGCGAACTTCGACAGCTTGCAGTCGAACAGAAAGAGAACGATACCGATGCTTTGTTTGGACAACCCACTGTGCCGCCTATACCTGTTATTCACTGAACGGGAGCAAGTTACTCTACTAAACGACAATTCCTAACCTTCTGCATAATTCCCTGTATCGCATAATAAATGTCTACTGATCTTACGACGTACTACTCGTTTTAACTTCGAAATCAGCCTCTAATTTTCGACAGCTTTTACTGTGATTTCAAGGTTTTAAGTATTCCGAACCAAAATAGCTATATATTGTGATGATATTTTTGTCAGTTTGGTACTATCACAAGTTCCTTACTGCGATTTCGAACAAATATCATGATGGTTACGAACGTTCGTTAGCCAGTAGGCAGTTGAAATTAATTCTGAAAACAAACAAACAAACCGTTGTTGCTACCTTGACGTGGTGGTCGGGCTTGCCTATCGTGATGAAGCAACCGAGCTATACTGGCTGGAACAACCGTTCCTCAAGGTCCTACCATGTCAGACAGGTCGGTTGAAGAGCGGTAAGACTAAAAGCAACAAACCCAAGGTCCGAAGGCGAAGTCGTACTGCTGGCTGTACAGAGGTGTGACAGCAGTAAGGTTTTCCTTCAGACAACCAGCATGACAGCGATGCTGCCTTCCCACAAGGAGGGGTGGGGTTAGAAAAGGTCGACCCTAAAAATGCACACCTCGCCTTATCCCACGGATATCCGTCTCCGGCGGTAAGGTCTCAATAAGTACGGAGCTAACACAAAAATTACCCATAAAAGGTCGTGTGTGACCGACCTCAAGCAGTTGTCCCTTGGGCACTGCGGTCACGCTCTCAGTCACTAAAACCACCTACCTCTAATCCAATTTCCTTTTCAGGTACCTCCAGAAGAACCCTTCCACGGTGTGGGCAACCGGGAAGTGATAACCGCCCTCACATCTCTAACAGCACTCAAGACCACTGTATTCATAATCAACCTCCTCTTCAATTCCTATTATTCCTCCTACATCGACTTTCAACTCTATATTTCCTCTCTCGGCTTCCACCTCAAGTGTCACCGTAGCCAACGATTCTAGTGCGCAAAACACTGTCCCAGGTCTACTGAAACCTCGCTCCAAACTACACATTGGAGCCTTCAACGTACGCACCCTATGTCAAATCGGTCAGCAGGCTTCCTTGGCTAAAACCCTAGAGTCTCTTTCCATTGATGTATGCTGTGTCTCCGAAACACGCATACAGGATTCCAGTGTGGTCATTCACTTGACCTCACCTCGGCAAAACGGAGAGCCAACGAGATACACCCTCGTGTATCTGGTGACCCGATGGCCAGTTCTCGTGGACTGGCAGGTGTAGGCATAGCACTAAGCATGAGGGCGAACAAGCACTGCTAGAGTGGATCCCCGTCAACAGTCGTCTATGTGCTGTTCGGCTAAACGGCTCCGTAAGAACTCGGAAGGATAGGGACACACGTCGTTGCCTTTTTGTCGTTTCTGCCTACGCTCCCACTGACTGCAGCTCAGATGAAGTGAAAGATGAATTTTACAGAAAGCTGTCCGAACTTCTTCAGAAAGCTAAACGCTCAGACATAGTACTCGTGGGGTGACTTTAATGCTCAGATAGGTAGTTTAAACCAAACAGAAAGGCATTTAGGTGGATATTTTAGTATTCCGACACAGCGAACAGATAATGGTGATCGTCTGCTGCAACTATGCTCAGACAATCGTTTATTTTAAGCATAAGGAGAGACATCGTCTAACATGGCGACCCCCTACACCAAACCAACGATGGACTCAAATAGACCATATTGCCATCAGTCATCGTTGGAGAGGGTCGGTAGAAGATTGTTGCTCATTCTGGAGTACCTGCTTGGACTCCGACCATGCCCTAATACGGGCACGCATCTGCTTGCGCCTCACTGGACGCAAAAAAGCCACATTAAAAAGACCCATTAGAACTGAATTGAGTAACGAGAAAACCAAAAGTAGGTTCCAGGAACAACTGAGGTCACACTTAGGTAGTTTTGGAAACGAGGCTGACCCAGATGTTGCTTGGAAAGTTATACAAACAGCTGTGAAATCTATCAATGATTTAAACCACAGGGTTACAAAGAACCAATGGATTTCCTCAAGGTCTATTGCACTGATGGATTCTCGCAAACTCATCCCATCAGGTTCTGAACATGATGAAGAGCGAAACAAATCAGATCTAGGTTAAGAAAAAGTCTAAGGAACGACCGTGAGCAGTGGTGGGCAACGAAAGCAAAAGAGATGGAAAAGGCGGCGACTATAGGGAACACAAGACAGCTTTACAGACTAATAAAAGAAACTGGAATTAATAAGTCAAGTGTAAGTGAGATTATTTCGGAAAAAGACGACACCCTCATCTGCTCCCAGTCCAGACGTTTAGAACGATGGGCGGAACATTTCAGAGAACAGTTCAGCTGGCCTTCAGCTACTCTACAACTACCCTCCATTCCCAGACAGTGTGAATGGAACATTGAAGTAGGTCCCCCAACTCTCGCTGAAGTTCAAAAGGCTATAGTTAATCTGAAACGAGGAAGGGCAGCTGGTCCAGATGGACTGGCTCCAGAGGTCTTTAAGGATGGTGGTCCAATTTTAGCGATTAGGTTGACTAATATTTTAGCTAAGATCTGGGAGTTAGACGTTATCCCATCTGACTGGTCACAATCACTTATCGTCCCAATATATAAGAGAGGGTTAAAATCATCCTGTGACAACCATAGAGGGATTAGTTTAACTAATATAGTATCTAAAATACTAGCCTCGATAATTATCGACGCCTAACTAAGACTCGTGAACTGCAAACACGAGAGAATCAAGCTGGCTTCAGACCTGGTCGTGGCTGCATCGACCACATATTCACCATTCGTCAGGTTCTAGAACACAGACATACTATCGGCGTCCGACAATGGTGGTCTTTCTTGACTCGAAAGCAGCATTTTACTTTGTATACCGCGAGATCTGTGGCAGTGTGTCATTGAAATGCGTACCTCAGAAGTACATAAACCTTGTGAAGGCTCTTTACTCGAACACTACTAGTCGACTCAGAGCTTATGGCGAACTGTCATCTGCTTTTGCAACTTCAAGTAGTGTCCGTCAAGGCTGTCCACTTTCTCCATTGTTGTTTAACTTCATCATAGACCTACTGATGGAAATAGTCAGTCAGTCAGTAACAACGTAGAACTTCGTACGTACGTAGATCAGTTCGAGTTGCCATACTACATTAGCACCGAGATGGAAATAACATTCTCGTCGACTGAATTCTCGAGTATTGATCTCCTTTCAGGAGGTCCACTTATCGACTTAGAATACGCAGATTATATAGTTCTGTTTGACGAGTACTCTGATAATTTGCAGAGTCTTTTGATAGCACTAAGCAACAATGCCAGAATGTTTGGAATGCGCTTCCCTCCCTCTAAATGCAAGTTGTTGCTTCAGGACTGGACTCCGTCAACACCTGAACTAAGGATAGGGAGTGAATTAGTCGAACACGTTGACAACTTCATTCATCTTGGAAGTCCGATCAGCCCTAATGGGTTAGTGTCTGACATCTCAGCACGGATTCGAAAATCTCGTTTGGCTTTTGCCAACTTACGTCACCTTTGGCGAAGGCGAGATATCTGTCTATCAACAAAAGGACGAGTGTACTGTGCGGCAGTCCGTTCTGTTTTAATTTACGGCAGCAAAACAGGGCCATTAAAAGTAGAAGACACTCGTAAGCTATTAGTATTTGACCACAGATGCCTTAGAAATATTGCTGGCGTCTGCTGGGATCACCGAGTAAGTAATAGGGAGGTTAGACGCAGGGTATTAGGGAATGATGATAAATCAGTTGATGAGGTTGTGAATCTTCATCGACTGAGATGGTTGGGCCACGTGTTACGTATGCCTGAACACCGATTACCACGACGTGCAATGCTGACAGGTGTTCGGGATGGTTGGAAGAAAGTTAGGGGCGGCCAAACCAAAACGTGGCATCAGTGCTTGCAGACACTAACCTCTAGTCTGAGCCATGTTGTTAAATACAGACTACTTGGTTGGGGTCCGTGTGACTATCGTAACCAATGGTTGGAGACTCTTGGTGACATGGCTCAGAATCGATCACAATGGCGTCGGTGTATACACTCTCTGTCTTCTCTTAAACTAAGAGATTAAAATCGCTTCATATCTTTCTTTCTACGAACTAATTCTTTCTTCCTGTACTATATCCTTATTGCAATCTTTCTTTTATATATTACCACCTCTGAATTAACTACTTTTATGAATCCGATGTTCATCTTGTTGTGCTAATGAGGTATGGCAACTTGGACCGATATATATATATGCCTGGTCCTACGTTGTAGCTGGCTGACTGACTTCAAATTCTCACACGAGACATCGATAGCGAAGAATTAAAGGCATTGTCGCTTCGAACCGGTGGTGTTACAGTCAGCTGTTCGAGGTTGCGTCAATCTGGCTGCGGGTTCCACAGCTGTCTAGAACGTGTAAAGCAATCACTTAGGCAATGCGTGTCTTGTGTATCATAGATATGTTGGTCTGATCACAAATCGGATATACTACACAGGAAATTCCGCCCATTTTTTACATAAAGCACAGACTGCAAACAAAACCTCCATAAATGCCATTTGACTTCAACTAAGTTTACTTTGATACATATAACTCCCTTTATTATCTTATCTTAAAGAGATAAAACAAAGATTGCTGCAGACCATCTCACTTTGTTAGGCCCTCATCAGCTACTTACGACCAATAATACTTCGAAGTCGAAGTTATCACCAATATTGACATACTTTATTAATACGAAAGATGTCAGAGAGGAGTATGTGTGTCATGACATAGCGAAGATTGAAGTTGATAAGGTCACAAAAATAAAACTTGAGAGGGGAAGTTCCAGAACATTGGATCAGTGATTAGAACTTAGAGTTAATAAACATGAGATGATTGTATAATGAAGTGATCGAATACGGAATAATGGTAATAAAGAAAGATGTGAGTTGAAATCAGTCAGTTATAAATTTAAAAAATTACAATGATATAATCCAAACTTTGGGGACAGTAGAAAAAACGAATGATGCAATAAAAAGGATGTAATGTTACCAGGGTAAAGAAAGACTTAGTTCCTTTTAGGTTACATAAATCACGTT